AAGATTACTTATGATTGCTGGATATTGAATGGAATTGCTTTCAATTTCTTAAAAACGGCTATTTTTTTCTAATACACTTCTTGTTTTTCATTCCTCAATTAGCCCAGATGTAGTAATGGCCATACATCTCCCTGCAGGGTATGATATTCAGCCCAGATGTGGGATGGAAGGACTTGTGCTATTAATTTGTGATCCACCTGCTTTCTGTTATTGTAGGGCAAACCTAGGTTTTCTCTTCTTAGGTTGCTGGAGAAAAATAATATCAAGAATGTCCTTATTGAGAACCTGTAACCAGTATCACTCTTGTCTTGATCGTCCTTGCATGGAACTGACTATGAAGGGACTTTATATTTGCTTGTGTGATGCCTTGTGTGAGGTCATGTGACCTCTTGGATGATAATGGAGTCTTCAGTGCTTTGGGTCACTAGCTGGTGTTGGTCCATCCACATTGTTGGGTTGTAGTGGAGCATGCTCTAGCATCTTCTGTAAGGCTAGACTGCCATCATTCCGACTTGCCTCTGATGCTTCCTGGCACCACAATAATAGTTGCAGATGTCTCAGGAACGACATCAATTATCAGTGGAGTACTCACTACAGCCATTGAGGAAATTGCAGTGAAGTAACTATACTCCGGTCATACAGCAGCTTGTGTCCTATTAGGTCTGATAGCGCGTAAGGATATTGCAGTAATTAAGGCATAAAAGAGGTACAAAATATGGAAAACATACAATCTGTTGGATGGCTATAGTGCTTTGGAGATAAACCAGGCATGCAATGGATGAAAAAGGATGGGACCAGTAGGGAGGGGATTCCCATTGTAAAGGGGTTTTAGGGAAGGGCTTAATGAGAATGCATCAAGGAGCTGTAGTGCAGGATCAGAGGAAACATGGTTTCCAGGTGAAAGAAGAGCAAGTATAGAACTTCAGGAGGGATGAGGTGTGTGGGGTTGTAATGAGTGCAGGAGCAGAGCCAATGTGAGAAGAGGTAGATTAGAAACAGATCACACTGAGCTTGCTAATTCCCCTGGAGTAACCCAGGAAGCCATCAGAATGAATGCAGATTTGGTTGTGATATAGCTTAGATCTTGGTCCATTTGACTTGTAGTATCTCCATTTTGCATCCCTAAATGCTGTTTGTTTGTTTCCTTCCTTCCTTCCACCTTCCCTTACTCCTCCCTTCTTCCTTCCTTCTCTCCCCCCTCCCTCCCTCCTTCTTCTTTTGTCTGATCCTGGGGCTTGAACTCAGATCCTGGGTGCCATCCCTGAGCCTCTTTGTGCTCAAGGCTAGCACTCTACCACACGAGCCACAGCACCACTTTGGGCTTCTTTTGACTGGGCTGCCTTCAAACCATGATCTTCAGATCTCAGTCTCCTGAGTAGCTAAGATTACAGGCATGCGCCACCAGAACTCAGCTTAAATGCTGTTTCTTTAAGGAAGCATTTTTCTTCACCTAGAACCCTTTCTGCTCCAGTATTCCATGGCCTTGAGCTCCCTCGGTGCCAGCTTTCTGCTCACAGGCCTTTTTTCCTGGCCTCTCAAGGCCATGATCTTCCTAGGGCCAGCAAAGGAAGTCCTTTTGCTGCAGTATCCCATCTGGCTTCCTACTTTTAAAAACATTATTGAAAAGGTGATGAGCAGGGGTGTTACAGTTACATAAGTAAGGCAATAAGTACGTTTGTTTTTTAATCACCATTACCCATCCCTCTTTATCTTCTACTTACCTTTCCCTCCCCCTCCCCCATCCAAGTTGTAATGTTCATATTCAACATAGTGTCAAGTGAGTATCAGTGTTGCTGTGGTTCATCCGTTGTCCTGTTGTTTCTGTGATTCCCTTTCTGTGTTTCCTACTTCTTAGGAAGCTGTGCTGGGCTGTTTGGATCCCCCCCACCTTAGGGCTCCCCTTGCTGGATCCCACCATACCACGTAACTACAGTACTCAGTATAGCTTATCCTAAGTGGAAGCCAGTTAGAGGTTGACTTTCTTTAGGAAGAATGTTGAGTCTAAAGGATATTGCTGATCTGTAGGGTGCTTCCAAATATTTCCTTCATATTTCAAGCAGCAACTTAGACTTTGGAAAAGTATCTGTGGGAAGATGTCTGGTGTGGACCCCAACCTATGTCCTCCCAAGGTCTCTCAGGACTCAGGTCTGGGCAGGAGGAAGACAGGAAGAACAGGCAGCATTCGCAGGACTCCCCGTGTCAGTAAGACATCCGTCTCTTTCTTAGTTTCTTATAGGATGTGCATATTTTCCTTTTTCACATATGCATAGTGTTGCTTAAGAACCTGTTAAAATGTCACAGCCTTCTACTCTTTCTTGTTTATCAGGAAAGGAAGGTTTGCCTCTCATAGCAGTGGACCAGACTCTTTGCAAGGTTGAGGGTAGACACAACTTGCTGCTCTCCCTTTTACTCATTTTCTATCCATTCTGCCTTTTGCTCAGTCTCCCCACTCTCCATTCTTTCTTCCATCCTCTGGCTCTTCATGTTAGGTACCTGGGTGCAAAACCTTAGGGCTAAAGCAGTCAAGGGTGGGCATATTGATCAGAAGCTATGTAGAAGGCTGAAGATCTTAGATACAAAGAATAGCTTTGGACTTTTTTTTTTGAAAGTATGGGCATTCAAAAAGCACATGCATTGAGGGTTGGGATGGGTGGAAGAAAGTGGGGGAGAATGATGGAAGGGGTGACATTGATCAAGAGACATTGTGCTCATAACCTGATTTACAGAACTGTAAGCTCTTTGTATAACTACTTAATAATAATAAGCACATGACACTGTGTGGATATAACAGTTGAAAAATAAAAGGCATTTATATAGATGAGGACAGAGAGCAGAGCTTGAAACCTGCTTCTAGAATTCAGATAAAACAAGTTATGAAAGTAGATATAAATTATTTAAAATTCATTTTGAAGGTGCTTAAAATAGACACACCCAGAACAACTAATTGAAGGATAAAAGTTAGGAAGTAAAGTACCCCCATAATCCATCCAAGAACCCTGTGTTCCAGGAAAGCACACCACGATTCAGCAACTTTACTTCTATGTGCATTCCAGCTGAATGGTCAATCAAAAGAAGGTACTAGAATGCTGACAACTACATTTCCATCATTATTCTAAGTAGAAGAGAAATGTGAACTGTGGAGCACTTATATGTTGGAATATTATAAAACCATGGAAACAAGTGTTTTTCATGCAGTAATCAATCTAATGATCCTCTTAGTGAGAATGCTGAGCTCTCTCTGTGGGACTCAGTTTCCCTAAGAGGAAAATGTTTCTGCACAGGTTCAACAGGTGGGAACTTGTGCAGGAGCATTGTGAGCCAGCTGGAGGTGGAGATGAGGATGGGGATGAGGATGGGGATGGGTTGAGGGATTGGTGTTTGGATCTGCTCACACTGATGTGCTAATTCTATGCATACGTTTCTGGCTGTTTGCTGGATTGGCTGCAAATATATTCTATTTTAGTAAAATTCCTATAAATGAAGAAAAATGATCAGAAATACTGAGTATATGACAATACTTAACAGACTTTAGTGTAATGCTCTTGATTTTCTGCTTAAAACAGAAACAAACTTTAAATAACATAGCCAGACTGTTTTAATATCAAACTTCAAAACTTATACATATACATTCTTTAATTTTTAATCCTGTATTATGCTAAAAAGACATCCTTGAATTCCCCAAAGAGGAATTGTACATACCACCATGACATTCTGAAACTAAACTAGACATTAATATTTTAAATGGAAAGACAGCTTACTACCTGGAAAATCTCTTAAAATATATGGCCAATGAGTCAATAAAGAGAGTGGTTTCAGATACAATTTCATATGATGTAAAAATGAGAAAACCACATTATTCATAGAAGAGTGTATTGCTTTCTAATGCTGTATGCTATAGCAGCAAGGACAGATTTATTATTATCTCATTATTTTTAAATATAAAAATAATTTTACAGTCCACTTTTTTTTTGGGGGTCCGGTCATGGGGCCTGAACTCTGGGCCTGGGTGCTGTCCCTCAGCTCTTCAGCTCAAGGCTAGCACTCTACCACTTGAGCTACAGCACCACTTCCCGCTTTTTTCTTTTTGCGTATGTGGTGCTGAGAAATCGAACTCAGGGCCTCAGGCATGCAAGGCAAGCGCTCTACCACTGAACCACCTTCCCAGACCCTGCAGTCCACTTTTTATAAAAAAAAAAAAGGGGGGGGGGCTAAAATAAAACCAAGAGAAGTAAAGGAAAAGCAGCAAACAACAGAATTAGAAAGGAAAGCATAGAGATAAGGAGTAGATGTGAGTAGTTATTCTTTGAAAGGACCAAAAGAAGTCATTGTGGTATAGACCTCTTTAAGTAGATTAGTGGTAAAAAGAATACCAAGAAAAAAAATTACAAAATAGCAAGAGAAACGAAATACTCAGCCAAGGAGAAGTTTAATTAAACAGGATAGGTGGCTCTGTGCTGTGTACTCAGGATTGAACTCATAGCCTTGTACTTGCTAGGCAAGCTGTTTACCACATAAGCTATGTATCCCCCCCTCTGCAATGAAAAATAGCAGTTTTGGCACATTGTGATTATGCAGGTTTAATATGAATGAGATTCGCTTAGACACAGACTTTTTGGAAGAATTGGAAAAAGTATCCAAGTCTTTTTCCCCCACTGGTGGTTTCAGTCAGATGACTGATTGTAGGTTTTTCCAAACATCTAGAGAGACTTCTAGAAGGCCTTAGGAGTTGAGTCCTGAGTAAATACCTAACTCTGCTAAGTACTTTCGTGGTCATTTGACCTGGGTCAATATGCCTGACTTTGTTGTATGAATGAATGAACCAGTGAATGAGTGCTTTCATGCCTTCCTGCCTTACTGTGTCTCAGATGAACAGAAAACTTTCATGGAGTCATTGTAAAGTTCTTACTTTATAGTCTGATAAATAGTGATCTTTCGTTATCTAATGTTTTTCAGTTTAAAAAAACTCTGAATAATCTTTTCATATATATGTATTTTTTCAGGATATACTGATCCAGAAAGCTTTTCCTGGACAGACTATCTGGAAGCTACTCAAACTAATGCAGTTCCTGCCAAAGTTTTAAAAATGGTAAGTTCCATATGGGAACACACTCTGGCCTTCAAATGCTCTTGTTGAGTCCTGTTTCATGAGTTGTTTTAAATGATTCCAGTTTTCTGTTTTTAAACATTTTTTTTTTTCATGGCCAACTTACTTTGCTCAAAACTTAAAAGTAGGTGACTCCCACTTGCTACTGCATCTATCTGATAATGTAGTGATGGTTTTCTTTCTTAAAAATCAATTTGCCCATGGCAGCACCCTGCCTGTAATATAAACTAGGGAGTCTGAGGCAGGAGGATCTCAAGTTCAAGGCCACCATGGCCAAGTAGTAAGACCCTGTCTCAATACACAAACTAAACAATCAAGGAAGACAGTAAAGCATGCCAGGGTACCACTGAACATGCCACTTCCGCACTGATGGAGGAAACCTTGTAGTTCCAGATTCAGTTTTGTCAGTGTACAGGGTGAGAGGTTTGAACTCTGACAGTATTGTTTCCTCAAGGATGACTCCAAGGTCCACAATGACACAGTAAAACCAGGGGAATATGTGCAGTCTCTGCACCTATTTTATCGAGTTGAAGGAAAATGTTTCTTCCAGCAGTTGTCAGAATACCGATTTTTGCATATCAAATTTACATTAATGTGCTAATTCCAGGATTGATCTAAGTATAAATTCATTTACAAAATGAAGTCAACAGACAAATCGTTTAAATAGGGATACAGGTGGACCCATTGCAACAATGAGATGTGCAAGTCGTTATGTCAAAAAATGAACTTTACAACTTTGGTGTGGGGGGGACCGGGGAGGATTGAGTGGGGGGTGGGGGAGAGGACGGGAAGGGATGGGAAGGGGAAACAAAGGAGGAGGCTACAATGCTTGATAAGAAATGTACTCATTATCTTGCCCATGTAATTGTAACCCCTCTGTACAGTATTTTCACAATAAAAAAAGAAGTGAACAGATAGATTTTGCCTGATTAGAAATATTTATATTCTAAAGGACAATTTTCAAGTCAGTTCCCTTCAGGTCTAATTGTGTGCTTCAGACTGCTGGACTTGTCTATGATAATAATTTTATTTATTGGGTTTCTTCATACAGTTTCACCTGCCAAAAATTTTCTAGTGATTAAAGGGGTTTGAAACAAAAAGCTGTTTGATGTTTTGGGTTTTTGAAAAAGTTGTAATTGACTAGACATAGGAAAAGATGTATAATATAAATGAGAAGACTAGAAGTACCAGAGTGCTACAGAGGATTTGTGCGTGCATGCGTATGTGGTGTGTGTGTGTGTGTGTGTGTGTGGTGTGTGTGTGTGTGTGTGTGTGTGTGTGTGTGTGTGTGTGTGTGTACTGGGTCTTGAGCTCAGGGCCTTGTAATCTTGCTCACTTAGTTTTTTCAATCATACCATTTAGGTATACCTCCAGTGTGGCTTTTTGCTGGTTAATTGGACATAGTCTCTTAGATTTGTCTGCCTAGGCTGATTCTGAACCATGGTCCTTTGATCTCTGGCCCCTGTATAGCTAGGGTTATAGGTAGGAACCACCAGTCTCTAGCCTACAGAGGAGCTTTCTGGATTTTAGTAAGTAAAATTCTCAGCTACTTGTATTCTTTCTCTCTTGTCTTCTTTCAAAACGTTGTTTTACTGTGTATGCAAAAAAATTGGCAGTACTAGGATTTGAACTTAAACTCTTGGGCTTCCTAGCAGAAGTTCCCCCACTTGAACCATTCAGTTATTTTTCAAATAGAGCCACATATGAATTACAGATTGTACCACCATACCCAGCCTTTTCAGTTTACTTTTCTAACATTAAAAACATACAAGAAAACAAAATGATGAAAGTAGTTAAAAAGGCAACTTCTAGGCTCTGTCTCATGGTTATGTGGATGCAGCTCAAGTATGTGTCTTTGTCATCTACAAAATGAAACAATTTCATGTGAGGATAGTGATTTGGGGGAAAAACATTAACACACTCCATGTATTAAATGTAATTATGCTTTGTAGAAAGAAAATATGTTGGAGTAAAACACAGTAGATGTTGGAGAAAGGTGACCATTTATGATTCCTCTATTAGCAGAGTTTCATTTTCCTATGACCATTTCTAGACTTAAGTTTCATATGCTTTCATTTCCTATAATGTCTAGAGCAAACTTTGGTGTGCAGTAACGGTGAAAGGTTTTGCTATGTTACAAAAACTTCGGAGTAATTTTTTGACTCTGACTTGTGATAGTTAAATTTCTGAAGTTACAATGGCTCTTTAGGTCCTTGTGCCTTTTTTTTCTGCCCTATTTCCTTCTTGACTGTGTCCATATCACTGACATTTGGTCCCTGCATTTTGAGACTTGAAAGGAACTTCAACACAGCTGAGGCCTCTAATCTTACTAATGAAGTAACAACTCATAAGCTTTGGTTTTCAATTATAGTACAGTATGATTTTAAGACAACAGTTGAAATCATGCAAGGTTTTATCTAAGCATGAAACAGTTTAGGAGCTGAGTGGGTCTGGGAGAGAAGAAGAAAATAATGGAAGGGATGACACTGATCAAGATACACTGTACTCAGAAACTGACATGTTGAATTGAAACTCTTTTGTATACCTGCTTAAAGGTAGTACATAATTATATATGTTAAAAACATTTTAGATCTAGGAAGCATTGTGTGCTTTTTGAATTATGTCTTTGATAACTTAACCTCCTTGGATATGCAATCCCAAACTGGGAAATGCTGAGAATAGCCAAAAATTTCTTCATTTACAAAGGCTAATTTGAAAAAAGGGGGAGAAATTTAAATAAATAAAATCCTTTGAGAACTTTGATGTGATTGTTAATGGAGTCAGAATTGAGTCTGTCTTTGTTTAACGACCTTCAATGTGACAAAAAATTTTCTCCTCCCAGATTTTTGTGAAACAGATTTGAAGAATTACATAAAGTCCCATGAGTTGTGAAAAGCAAACTCCAATTGGGTTAAAGATCTGAGCATTAAGACTAAAGCAATAATATTTGAGAAAAATTGACTAGAAGATCTGAATTGTGAATGTTGAATTGAGAAGATTAAATAGATGATGTGAAAGTTGCATGACTTATTGCACCTATAATGTTCTATAATATTTCAGAGGGGCCCTCATGGTTTTCTGCCAGACATGAAACTTGAAGTTGTGGATAAACGAAACCCACGCTTAATTCGTGTTGCAACAATTATAGATGTTGATGACCAAAGAGTAAAGGTACATGTTTTCAATTATTATGTTATGATGCTGGCATTTCTCCAACATTTCTTCTGTCTTTATCATCCTACCATGTCCTTTACTTTCTTCAAATTTTAACTCATCTGTTCAGTGCTTTTTCTGGGGAGAAAAACCATTCTGGATCTGACCTTGAAGAATGTCCTTGGCCATGGTGGGATGAAGTAAGTAGTAGGGTCTCTTAAGACAGGAAGCAGAAGGCCCAAATGAGGCTGGCTGCAGAGACTGATGTCTGGGTACAATTAGTACAATACATTTCCAATTGGTTTCTACTCACTTGAGTTTTGTGTGGACAGATTTCCAGCTTATCTGCATATGGACTAAGACATTTGATAGCTGAGTAAGACAGATTTTGAGAAGGATCACAATTCTTTATTTTCTGCTTTTTTCCCTAAAAAAATAAAACCAAGCTTAGTCTCTATAACAGAAAGGAAACTAAGTTTGTATTAAATATTTGATTAACAGATAACTATACTCTCCTTTTTGATGGCATTTTAAATATGCACAACTCCAAAATGAAATTTCCTACAGGGAAAGCTTTTTATCTTTTTGTTTCTGAGAGCTGAGAGCATCTGTGGAATTCATTAACTCTTTTATAGCATGGCAGTTCAAAAATGATTTTCTGCCCAAGCATTGTTTTTTTTTTTCATAATAAGAAGCTCAAAGTCAACTAATTTTAATAGATGCTATTATTGAAAGGATTTATTTATTTCATGTACAGTTTGAGATGATCTAAAAGACATTTCATTTCCTTTATCCTTAATTTGAAAGCAATATCTTAATTCATTTTATAGAGAATATTCAGTACATACATTTTGGTAAAATTTAGAGACGGATATCTTGCTTTGCTATAGCTTACCACAAGCATATGTTCACTGATCTTAATTTTCCTGAAAAATGTAAACAATAATTATAGTCAAACATCAGATGGATATTTACTTGCCTAATACATTGTTATTACTGTTTTAAATTTAATTTCAAAAAAATTGCTTAAGATTTAAGAAAATATGGCTTCATTGTTTACTGGGTATCATAATAGTTTTATAGCAGTATTGTCCCTGTAATATAATATTATGTTATTAAACTTTTTAATTTTATTACATTCCTCAGAAAGGCTCAATTTTTTTTTTGGTCAGTTGTTGGGCTTGAACACTGGGCTTGGGCGCTGTCCCTCAGCTCTTCAGCTCAAGGCAAGTGCTCTACTGCTTGAGCCACAGCACCACTTATGGTTTTCTAGTGGTTTATTGGAGATAAGAGTCTCACGGATGTTCCTGCCAGGGCTGGCTTTGAACCATGATCCTCAGATCTCAGCCTTCTGAGTAGCTAGGATTACAGGTGTGAGCCACTGGTGCCCAGCAAGGCTTAATTTTTTTTATTGTGAAAATACCATATAGAGGGGTTACAATTACATGGGCAAGATAATGAATACATTTCTTATCAAGCATTGTTGCCTCTTCCTTTGTTTCTCCTTCCCATCCCTTCCCATCTCCCCCTCCCCCCCGCCCCCGCTCCCTTGTACCACCCTCCCTCTCCATGCCAAAGTTGTAAAGTTCGTTTTTCAACGTAACAATTTGTACATCTCATTGTTGCATTGGGTCCACCTGTATCCCTATTTAAACGATTTTTTTCCTTCCCCTCCACAAATTATGCCAACATCAAATACAGTGAAAGCAGGGATTATACCATGGGGGAGGGACATACAAAGCAACAAAGAAATCATCTTATAAATATATTAGAAACAATTACATGAAAGCAAAACTATTTGAATCCTTATCTTGGGGTTCATTTCACCTAGCATCAACTTATCTGACCTTTTCTGCTTGTCTCAGACATATACTAGTTATTAAAAATAAGGGAAACCATGGGACCTATGTTTCTTTGGGCCTGGCTTACTTCACTTAATATAATTTTTTTCCAAATTTTTCATTTATTTTTGGTAGAAAGTTTTCAGTTCCTTTCTTCTAGCTTTCTGAAATGTACAGGCATTCTTGTTATCAGTGGTGCTCATACTGTACAATAATTCCCTAGAACTTCTTCCTCCCAGCTCACTGCAAATTAGTGCCTGTTGATCTGTCCTCTATACTCTCTCCCCACCCACTCCAGCCTCTGGACACCACCATTCCACTCCACTTCTTTGTCAAGGCTTGTAGAGGCTCAATTTTTACTGGATTGTGTGTGTGTGTGTGTGTGTGTGCGTGTGCACGTGCGCATGCGCTAGACCTGGGTCATAAACTCAGGTCCTGGGCACTGTCACTAAGCCTGAGCCAAAGGTGTACTTTTGGACTATGTTTTCTTTCTTTTATTGGTGATTAATTGAAGATAAGAGACTCTCTAACTTTCCTGGCTGAGCTGGCTTCAAATGGCAATCCTCAGATCTCAGTATCCTGAGTAGCTAGGATTACAGATGTAAGTTACTGGTACCTGTCTTCTTTTCTAGGTTTTTAGTTGCTATTTTATTGTTATTTATAAAATATGTATTCTAGTATCTATTGAATGTGTTGGATTAATTTATTACCTTAAAATTCCGTTTGAATCAAGCACTGGTGGCTCATACCTATAATCCTAGCTACTTAGGAGGCTGAGATCTGAGGATCATGGTTCAAAGCCAACCTGAGCAGGAAAGTCCATGAGAGTCTTCTTATCTCCATTTAACCACCAAAGAAGCCAGAGGTGGAGCTGCAGTTCCAGTGGTAGAGTGCTAGACTTGATCAAAAAAGCTCAAGGACAGCACTCAGCCCCAGGACTGGCATGTGTGTATGCGGGTGCACGTGTGTGTGCACGCGCACACACGTTTGAAAACTAGCTCCCACATAATTTTCAATAGTTTGTATTTATCATCTCAGCAATGACATTTAAAAAAATCTCTTAAATATTTAGCCAATCCTTCTAAATAAATATTTTATATATTTCCTCCTTGCTCTTTCTCTTTCATGGAAATTGCCCTGTTTTTACTGGAGAAGAAGAGTTTAGAAATCTGTAGTACCTCTGAAAGTTGCAGAGCCATAATTGTCATTTCTGTGGTCCTACATATAATGCAAGTACCCTTAGCATTTTAAACCTTAATAAAGGTATATTTATGCAAATGAAACACTGCTTTGTGAAATTGTGCCTTACAATGAGTGAAATGAGTTCTTTCTGCACACTATTTAGTCAGTCAGTTTGCATCAGTCTTACAATGGTCATAATTGGCTTGAGGCTGGGCACATAGACCTAATCTCTTACTCATTTCTAACATTCTACCACGGGCTCTCCATATCCCCCCCATTTGCAGTCAGTCCTTCAGTTGCCTCACCTCATGAAGGAGAGGTAGAAGATTGTCAGCATGCTGGCCAGCTTCTGATTGTAAGCAAGAGTCAAACCTTAGTGTTTAAAATTCCATTCATCAGTGTTCCTCAGGGAAGATATGTCATGCTAGATCTGCTCTTTGCACTCTTGTTCTGGGAGGCTGAAAGTAGTGGACAAGGTTTTCTTGATGGTTGAGAAAGTATTTGAAGCTTTCTTTTACCCCAGCAATTCCTCCATACTTCAATTCATGTGTTGATTATACCATTCTGTAATTTTGTTTTGTGGAAATGAGTGTCTTTCAACAGCTGTTTTTTAATCCTTGGTGAATAATAGATATTTAATATCTGCATGAATGATAAAGGAGTGAGTGGAGGGGCTTTGGTATCTTGACTATTGCTGATAATGTTGGTTGCAGCCTTCACCCACTGTTACCTGTTTCCTAACTTTTCTCCTGTTGGAGTTGTATTTCCACCCAGTGTCCTGGGAAGGCCAAAGGGCACATCTGGACTTGGCTTCCAGCTCTGACTCTTCCTTCACTTGGTGAAGTTCTCACCTTATTTCAGCTTCCCTTAGTTATGGGCCAAGAGTTAAAAAAACACTTATCTCATAAGCTTTGGGGGAAAATTCCAAGTGGGTTTCTGTTACGATTTCTGAAACTGTGCTAGTGTCAGGATCTCAGCAGTAGCTGCTGCTGTCCTTGTGCAGATGCCCTGTGCTGCTGTCCCAGGTACTGAAGGGAGTACTTGCAAGCACAAACAGGCAGGGAATAAGCCAACGTGAGAACGGCAGGGAGTCTGACTGGCACTCTGAGGGGATGGCTAGGGTGACCTCAGCCTGCCCTAACAATAAGATCACATCTATGACAATGGTAACAATGCTAATGGTAACAATGTGTCCTTGTCACATAATGTTCTACCAGCTTTCCCTGCATTTGTGTATCATCATCTCCCCGGCTTTGTGGTACTCTCCCATGTGGTGCTTCTTGCTGCTGTCCAAATTTCATAGAAACTGAAGTTTAGCAAGATTAAGTTACTGGTCCTAGGCCACAAGCTAGTAGATAGGAAAGCAGGGTCTAACTCTAGCTTCCAAACAGGCTTTCAGTCTTAGGATTTATAATCTTCCTCTGCCTCCTACTCCTGGCTTGCAGTGTTTTCCCCTAAATGACCCACTGCAGAGCAGGAGAGCGGAGTGTTGGATGGTAAGGAGAGAGCTCCAGGAGCCCACTGTGCCCTGTGCCTCTCCTGCATGCTTGTGCCTCTGGGGGAGAGGTTGGCATTCCCAGGTAGCCTACAGCAGGTTCCCCCAACACTGATTTCATCATTCTTCTCTGTCACTGCCCAAGGTTGTACCTACCATTATCTGGTTTTGCAATAGTGTTTTAGAGATATAATTTCTGTACATCATTAACTGTCATGGTTTTGGTTATCTTCACAAACTTGTACAACTACCACCAGCAGCCATTCATGGTCACTGCTCACTCACTGTACCTTCCCTTCCCCCACCCAAGCACCTGGCACTCACTGAGCACTTACTAATGGGCAGATTTGCCTACCTGAGCATCTCATCTAAACAGAATCCTATAATGTGATCTTTGTAAGGTCTTTCATTGGTGTTATGTTTTCATGGTTCACACATTTTATTTACAAATAATACTTCATTGCATAGATACCCAATATTAGTTGATCGACTAATCATTT